TGAGAGCCAAGATTAGTAGACCCATGGAACCCTTGTTGCCAACGCTTAATTTGTAATAAAAGGGGCTGGAGCTCAAGCAATTTATTTACATTAATAACTAATGTGCCAAACTCAGAGAGGCTGGGGCGAGGGGGAGGTTTGAACTGCCAAGTTTAGAGATGCCAGGACTCTGCCCTGGCAAAAATTAAGTACAGATTATTCCTGTAATTTGGGGCTAAGAGATGTTGGCTCAGCAGTGGGGGAAAAGCTTTCACTAACCACAGCGTGTCTGTACTGTGTGTAGACAAGAGTTACATTTCCATAACTTTCCATGTCTTTTGTATAAATTTAGTGCCTGGGAAAAATTCCTCTTTGATTCTAGCTGTTGAAACTGCTCTATTCTAGAGGGAAGTTTTTTTTGTTAAAAAGCCAAAGACAAGAATCCATTTTTTTTTTCTTTTTGGAGTATGACATAAGTTCACTTTGACTAAGAGATCAGGCTACTGCTTTAATTGTGGAATTCTTTGCTATGTTCTGTATTGTGTCTTTATAAATGATCTCTCTTAAATCTATATCTCTCTCACTATATATAAAAGCTTTTCCTGCCATGCAACAGAATGACATCAGCTTACTTGAAAGGGGAGTCTGTGTCTTGCTTACTTGCATTTCAACCAGAACCAACTACAAAACTGAGATCTGTCTGTAGATGGGTTTGTAACATGTATGTGAGCAATAGACCAATTAACAATTTTTCTATACAGCTTAGTTTGTTCGCACTTCTATATAATCAGTACAAAATTAAAAGAGGCGGGGGGGGGGGGGTAGGTGAGCGTAGCAAGAACGGGGCACAACCTGTGTGTGTGTGTGTGTGTGTGTGTGTGTGTAAGTAAGTATAACATTATAGAGGAGTCTGTATATCTGCAAGTCTGTTAATGCCTCCTAAATGGTAACAGCTAGGATCACCACACTTGTTCAGCTTCCTCTTATCCTAACTTAAGGTGAGGGTTTGATTGTGGCAGGAAAACAGGATTTGCCTGGAATTTGATTGATTTTCACAACATGGAAGGGAGAAGGCTCATCAGAGGGACCCAATACTGTACCACTGGTGGCAGCCAGTGCAGGTGATAGCTGTAATGCAGAGAGACTACAGGGGGCAGCTGCACCAGGAAGGGAGTGGCCAGCAGGGAATGTAACTTGCTATTTTGCCAGTCACAAGTCCAGTTAAGTGGCCCCCAATTCTAAAACCTTCCCCCTCCTGGCCCGTGGCCCCAGTGTTGGACCAAGGGAAGTCCTGGCACCTCCATGGTGTTCCCTCGCCTCCCCCAAGCACTGGAGCCAAGCAATGCAGCCCTATCACCCCTCCCCCAGACCCCAACACCGCTAGGCCATCCAGAGTACCCCTGCTTCTGTCTCCCCAGGTGGGCTCAGGGAGCGCCACAGGGCTATCCTGTGTGACCCCCCTCTCACCTCTGGCCTCCAGGGAGCATGGGCAGGAGGTCTCTACCTTCCAGATCTGTGCAACACCAGCTAAGTCTTGTAGATGTATTTATAAGAACATAACGGCCATACTGGGTCAGACCAAAGGTCCATTTAGCTCAGTAGCGTGTCTTCTGACAGTGGCTAATGCCAGATGCCCCAAAGGCAGTGAACAGAACAGGTAATCATCATGTGATCCTTCTTTTGTCATCCATTGCCAACCTGACAACCAGGGGCTAGGGACACCATTCCTATCCATTCTGGCTAATAAGTATTGATGGAACTAACCTCCATGAATTTATCTAATTTGTTTTTTTTTGAGCCCTGTTAAAGTCTTGGTCTTCACGACATCTTCTGGCAAGGAGTTCCACAGGTTGCATGCTGTGTGAAGAAAAACTTCCTTTTGTTTTTCATAACTGCTACCTATTAATTTCATTTGGTGACCCCCTAGATCAGTGGTTGCCAACCTATTTACACCCAAGATCACTTTTTAAATGACAGACCAAGCCAAGATCTACCACCCCGTCCCTTCCTTGAAGCCCCATCCCTTCCTTGAAGCCCCGCCCTCTCTATTCTCCTCCTCCCCATCACTTGCTATCCCCAATCCTTATACTGCTGCTTAAAAAAAAATTCTGTAGGAAGAGGTTTTTCCAACATTTGGCCTGTCTGGATGAGACCAAATGTCAGAAAACCCCTTCTTTTAGAAGCCCCCTTATTCCTCATGGAACAGGAATATAGGGCTTGCCAAAAGAGCATGTTTGCTCATCCATGGATGTGGAAGAGTTTTTCTGGGATATCTCCAGCCGCCCCCCCCCCCCCCCCCTGCGGCGCAGGGAAACCCCGCGCGCACCTGCCCCGGGGACAACTCACGCCTCCTGCGCCGGTGCAGGGAAATCACCGTGCTCCTCTTCCGGAGCCAGGGCCAGTCATTAGGTACAGAAGCTGATTTAAAGGATAGGTTACAAACCTCAGTTAATAGTTCCACAATTTCATATTTGAGTTCTCTCAGAACTCTTGGGTGAATGTCATCCTGTCCTGGTGACTTGTTACTGGTAAGTTTATCACTTTCTCCAAAACCACCTCTAATGATGCCTCAATCTGGCACAATTCCTCAGATGTGTTGCCTATAAAGAATGCCTCAGGTTTAGGAATCTTCTTATCCTTTTCAGCCATGAAGACTGAATCAGAGCATTCATTCAGTGTCTCCGCAATGAGCTTATTGTCTTTGTGTGCTCCTTTAGCATCTCGATCATCCAGTGGCCCCACTGATTGTTTAGGAGGCTTCCTGCTTCTGATGGACTTAAAACACATTTTGCTCTTACTTTTTGAGTTCTTGGCTGGCTGTTCTTCTAACTCCTTTTTGGCTTTCTCAAATGAGCTCTCTTGTTTCTGAATGTCTGACATGGCATGCCTCTAGAGGGTGCAGGGAGGGGAAGCCTAATGTCTGACGAAAGATTAGCTTGCCTGCTTTTAAGTTAATCAGGTGGCGCTTATGTGCCCTGTGTGGCGTATTAGTTCTCCAGAATTTGTAAAAAATCTCCTATGAAATCAGTTGGTACCCAAGAAGGTGCTAAGTATCTGAATGTGAACAGAGGGTAGCTGTGCCTGTGTTGTCTTCCTGAATCTGCAGACAGCTTGAAATAATGGTTGCAAAGACACCTCTCTACCCTATTAACTTCATTGACGAGGTGTTAATACTAAAGCCTGATTGACTCTAAATATCACCAATGACTCTTCCATTGCTGATAAGGCAGAAGGGGCTGGAAATTGTTGTGTGGAAAGAACTGAGGAAGGGAGACATTCAAAGAAAAGAAACTGGCAGAGAAAGAACAGAAATAACAGGGATCTTAAAAGTGAGTTTTTCCCAGTGAATGATGCTGAATGCAGAATGAAGGTATTACAAAACAAAAGCTCAAGTTTTGAGTTATAGTTCTGCCTTTGCTTTTTGTATAAATGTCTCCTTGTCATAAATGGGAATGATCCCTATGGATTGAGGGAAATATGGAGCACAAAATCTGGAGTTCTGGCCCAGGAAAAATAATTAGTACTGGACATCAGACTTCTCTGAATGTGTTTGAAACTAAGTCTAAAAGAACTGCTCTTGGTGTGCTGACCTTGTTTTTGCTGGATGAATCATTCAAGTGTAAGTTTTTCTGCAGCCTTGAGCTGGCTCCAAATCAGAGAAGCAGAATCATTTAACAAACTTCAATGATGTACTGTATAAGGGCTAGTCTACACAGGAATGATTCTGAAATAACTCCCAAGTGTATGCACTCTTCTTCTGGATTAAGCTAAACTGGAAAAAATCACTCTGTTTCATAAGGGCTGGTCTACACTGAAAAGTTATATTTCTATAAGTATGTCTCAGGGTTGTGAAATTCACACCAGAGGAAGTAGTTAAACCATCTAATCCACAGACCATGCTAGATTGATGAAAGAATTCTCACATGGTCACACCGATTAACTAATGTTCAGGTGTTATGAAAAACCAGTAGGTGTTATGAAGTAGTGTGAGAGCAGAAACTTTTCAGAATACTGAGCAGTTACTTGAAACAGTGTGAGATTTGTTGTTACCTATGAATTATGGTAAGCCTGGGGGGAGGCGCACACAAGTCAGAAGCAAAAAACCCCCCACCAAAAACCAGCTCTCTGCATGTGCTAGCTATGTAGAGCTGCCTCTCTTCTCCTCTGTTCCCTCTCCTCCGCCTCCCCCCCCCCCATTTGCTGCTTCCCACAGAGGCATCAGCATAGGGGGAGGCTACCCTATGGAATGCTAGCACAGCCTCTGTCCACAGGGAGCTCAGGCCCCCTGAAGACAAGGGCTGCTGCTGCCCCTTGCTGCTGCCTCTGTATGAGAGGCAGCAGTGCAAAGTGGCAGGGGCCTCCTCAGGAGTGGGGCTGGGAGCATTGTTGACTAAGTGTGTAACTGCTAAGATTTGATACAGTTATGCTATTATTAAATGAATCAATATCTAACATCCCTAACCTGGATTCTACCTGTTATGTCTAAACACTATATTGTGAGAGCAGTGCACTGAGTAGTCAGTTATACCAGTAGACAAGGGTAAGTGGCATTCAGCAGCATGTCTGCTAACTCAACTCCTATTTATTCCATACTCAATGTTGTTTGCTCTTCTTTATAGTCATGGCCAGCACTACCACCTAACTCGGGTTCTCAAACAGGACCCCTGTCTAAGTTGCTTGCGACTGCCCCCCCACACTTTGAGAAATGCGGACCTAACTCCATTCTTCACAGCATAAGGTTTCTATTGAGGATAGCCCCTCTGATGCACGCTTCCTGAGAGTCCCTGGGTTAAATTTGCATTAGGGCTTTCTTCTGCAGAAACAACTATTTTTTTTTATGATGGTGTAAGGTTTACTGGTGGTGGTGTTGAATTTTTTTAACACCAAATTCTGCTTTGTTTCCAGATGACCAATTTTTGCACCTTGTAAGTCTTTACATTTGTTACATCTGTCTATTTCCTCCTCTCCCTTTAAAGATACCAACATAACTTTTTTGATTGTTGAATATTTATTTAATGCAGGTCTTCTTGAACTCTCTTTGGGCAAGTTCAGAAATGTGCTACTTAACAAGACCATCCAAGTGGAAGCTGTAATAAGGAATATTGCAAGCACTGCGTCTGTCATTATTTTTCAAGTACATTCCCACCAAAAAAATATAACCATCTCTTTTAATAAGGTATGTGTGAAGTTGGAATCCAAGTATCTCAGTTGTGTTCGCATTATCTAGTGGTACTCAACCTTGGAAGAGGACAATTAGAAAATTGCTTTGTTGTAAGAATAATTTTGTGTCTGGAGGCGAGGGAGGAATGAAACTCTGCACCAAGAGTATATTGTTAATATTGGAGCTCCCAAACGTTAGAACTCAGGCCTTGTCTACATTGGCATGTTTGTCACCAAAAGGCAGTTTTTGTGACAAAACAGCGAGAGTGTTTACACTGCAATGTGACTTTTGTCGGGGAAAAACACCCAGATATGGTGACAAAAATATTCCAGCCCTGAGAGAGAATTTTTTCTTTCCCTTCCCTCTATTGCTGATAAAGAGCCAGTGTTGGACACTGCTGTTTGTTTTGTCGAGCAAACTGGCTATCCGACAGTACCTACCCTGATGGCTGTGCTCAGTGTTTTGTGATCTCTGGTGCCCTTTTGGCATGCTCCTCTCTCCTTTCAAAGCTCTGACAGCTGAGTGAGCTGCTCGATTTGGGGAACAAAGAACAAATCATTGGAATGCTCTGGTTCTGCCTTGGTAGGAACACAGCAGCAGTGCAGGGGGAGAGTTGAAAGAGACTGCTGTGCTGCTTTGACATTCCTCAGCACAGAGAGCTCTACAGAGCTACAAGGAAATCCGAAGAAGCGCAGGGATCAGCTCTGTCTTCCCACAGCATTGCACTGTGGGATGCCCTCTCACATTGCATTGCTTTATCTGTCGAATGGGTGCTAGCAATGTAGCCATGAAATGTTGATAATGGGAGGCAGAAAAGCTGGTTTGACTGCAGTTTTCACTTCTGGCTACTTGAATGTTGACAGCACTTTCATCGCCAAACTTTTCCAGTGTAGACGTAGCTTAAGACTTTCTCATGTCTACTCAATACTCTTGTAGTTTTAGGTGTCTAAAAGGGTGTCACAGGGAGGAGGGGGGAAAATTGTTCTCCTTGGCCTCTGATGATAGGACAAGAAGCAATGGACTTAAACTGCAGCAAGAGAGGGTTAGATTGGAAAAACTACCGTATTTTCCGGCGTATAAGACGACTTTTTATGCTAAAAAACATCCCCCAAAAATCAGGGGTCATCTTATACGCCGGGGCTTTTCTCGCCCCGGAGGACACAGACTGCGGGACCTCGCGGTCCCGCCGCCCGTGTACTCTGGGGCGAGAAAAGCTGCTCTGCCTTTCCCTGGTCTGCAGACCAGGAAGACGCGGAGCAAAGCCAGAGGGGCTGGGGCAGC